AGGGCAGCAGCTCCGTGTCCACGCGGCACTTCTCGCTGACCACGCCCACGCACACCTTGTAGAACTGCACGGGCGACGCGCTGCTGCCGTCCGCCGTGGCCACCACGATGTTGCCGCCGCCCGTGAAGGCGATGTCCGCCAGCGCCACGCGGCCTCGCAGCCGGCACAGGCTCTCCGTGGACGTGAGCACCTGCCCGCTGGGCTTCAGCAGGGACACGGTCACCAGGCCGCTGACCGTCACCGCAATCCAGCCCTCCATGGGCTTCCCGCCGAACAGCGTGAGGGAGGGCGAGAACTTGACGCGCGAGAACTTCTCGCCGAAGCTGGAGACGCCCGACTGAGGGGAAGAGGGGCGCGGGCTCTTGGGGTCGGCGGGGCCGAGGGGCCCAGGACCCCTGCAGAGAGCAACGCGTGGCCGGACAAGGGGGCCCGGGCCGGAGTTCAAGCCCTGACTCGCACTTGAGCCCTGGGATACGGCCTCTCGGACCCTCAGGCTCATCTGTGAGATGGAAGGAACGACACCACTTTGGAGGACAATGGGGGTCACATCCAACTTGGCGAGACCTCAGCTCTACAATAAAACAAAAATGAGCCGGGCGTGGTAGCCCGCGCCTGTAGTTCCAGCTACTCGGAAGGCTGAGGCGGAAGGATGGCGGAGCCCAGCAGGGCGAGGCTGCGGTGGCTGCAGCAGCCACTGCACTCCAGTCTGAGTGACAGAGTGAGACTCCAACTCAAAAAAAAAAAAAGAAAGGCAGGCCCGCTGTGCCGACTGGGCTGACTGCCTTCTAGCACAGAAGCTGGCAGCAGATGCCACCATGTGCCAGTCATGAAAACGTACTGCTAACACACACAGGCCAGGGCGTAGGACCCAGGGGCTGCACCTGTGGACCCCTGAGGTGAGGCACACAGCAAGTGCCATGTAAGTATCAGCTGCTGCCAGGCACAGGGGTGCACGCCTGCCATTGCAGTGCTTTGGGAGGCTGAGGTGGGAGGACCACCTGAAGATTGAGACCAGGCCAGGCGACATAGCGAGACCCCGTCTGTGCAAAAAATAAAGAAACTAGCCAGGTGTGGTGGCTCACGCCCGGAGTCCCAGCTACTCGGGAGGCCGAGGTGGGAGGATCGCTCGAGGCAGGAAGTTCCAGACCAGCCTGGGCAGCACGCCAAGACCTGCCTCTGAAAGAAAGAGCCAAGTTCCCCTGCTGCTGCTGCTCCTAGTCCACGTTTTCAAGTCAGACTAACGAGGTCACAGTTCACGTGCGGCAAAGCTCACCCCTCTGCGAACCGAGTCCTGGTACACCCCGTCGAAGGCCCCGCCCCCAGGCTCCACACCCCAGGCACTCCCCGGCCCTCCCTGCCTGGCCCTCTGCTGGGTTTTGGTCGCCGGTGCTGCCTTTCTGGACCGACCCACCGGGCGGTCCCTGCGCCTGGCCTCTGCCTTCAGCAAGGCTCGTGCGCTCCCCCACCCCTACTCTCGCCTCGGATGGGACACCAGGCGGAGGCCCGACTGGGCCTCTCTACGTGGCCTGAGGGGTGCCTCCCCAGCCTCTGCCTCCAGGAGTGGGGTCAGAATGCAGGCTCCCGGGCCTGCCCCACCTCGCAAGGCCAAATGTCCGGGGAGGGCAGGGCCCAGCAGCGGGATCAAGCCTCAGGCCAGGGGCGTGGACATGCTGGACGCCGGAGGGTCCCTGCGTGAGAGGACCAGATGGGCTTCTGACTGCCCAGAGGGAGTGCCAGACAAAGCTGGCGCTCTGCAGTGTGGAACGCTCCAGACCCAGCAGGCGCTTGGCCACACGGCACTCGGGGCAGCCCGAACGTCCCCCAGGAGGGAGCGCCCAGAGCCTTCGCAGTGAAAGGAAAGCCAGACAGGGCTGGGGCCAGCCCGCTGGACACCGTGTCCACATGGACATGCAAGGCACGGTGATGGCATGATCTCAGGCTCTCAGGCCAGGAGCAGAGCGTCCTGCCACCTCAGGGGAGACACGCACTGCATGACTCCACTCCAGGTGGGGTGGAAACGAGACCCCTTTAAGACGAGGCCCAGGAGGCCGCCAGCCCAGCGGGGCTAGTTGCCGTGGGGACGCAGGGTGTCCCCCCCACCCCCCATTCTGGGTTGCGTGGGTCGCAGTGTTTTAAAGAGCGCGTATGCCTCTTCTAACTCAAAAACAAACTTTAAAAGGAAGCGCTGATTCACGGCACAGCATGGAGGGACCTTGGGGACATCACGTCAGGGAGAGCAGACACAAGAGGACACGTGGGGTGTGATTCAGTTTACACGGAATGTCCAGACTAGGCCCGTCCACAGAGACAGGACGTGGATTCACGAGGGCCAGGGAGGGTGGCGGCAGACGGGGACAGGGCTTCACTCAGCTAAGGCTTCCCTCTTAACTCGCTGCTGGGTGGGATCACAGCAGACAGAGAAAGGAGTCTGGGGTGTTACTGAATCAAAGTGCAGACTGGGTTCCAAGAACAGCAGCCATCAGTTAAATGGCCAGGTAGTGGAGGGGAGCAGCCATCGTTTAAACAGGCGGCTCACTGGGCCGGGCTCAGTGGCTCAGCCTGTCATCCCAGCACTTGGGAGGCCGAGGCGAGTGCCTTGCCTGGGCCCGTGGGTTCGAAACCAGCCAGGCAACTTGATGAGACCTCATCTCTACAATAAAATAAAAAATTATGGCCGGGCTCGGTGGCTCAGCCTGTAATCCCAGCACTTTGGGAGGCCGAGGGGAGTGG